TAGACCGGTGACGACCGCACAGAGTAGCATTATAACAGAACTTTCAAATGTGTCTAGTATGATAAAACAGCGCTGCTTTTTTCCCCCACATACTCACGACCGGAAGGAGCGGAAGCGGTCGACTGTGGCATAATAAAAGCGTGTGTCACGCTCGTTCAGCGGCCTCATTTCGCTTCGACGGCTTTCAGCCTCACCCTGCTTCATTCTACTACGTTAATAAATCATTAGCTCATCCATGAACATGATTTCTGCCCGAGTCCCGTCGGATTGCATCGGCTGTGGGGATGAAGACCACAACTCCCATGATTCCACACTCAGTCAAGGCGTCATCAAACTACGCCTTTGATTCTTTGTTTATTTTGAATACGCGCCCTCTAGCGGCGAAAAATTACATATTGTGCCTTTAACTTCGGAACATGAGCTGGAATTGGGAACCGCTGATGTAGCCTATTGTAGTAAATGTTGTCTCTGGTATTCTGGTCTGTGAGCATATATGCGTTCAGGGGGCGTGGCTTTGGACAGCGATTGCAGGGAGGGTGGGACATTCAGGCTAAAGTTAGCATTTTCCAAGATCTCCTACTGCACCTTTAAGTCATTCATTCATTTATGTCATTCATTATCTGTGAGAAGCTTAATTGACTACATGTGCAAATGTTGTATACATATATTTTTGAATGTGCTGAATATTGTATGTATGAGTTATTAATGCAAAAAATTTCTTTTTGATATATGGTTCTGTCATTCAGTCATCTGTCAGAGTGTGAAATATTCCTCAACGATTAAGACAGTGGATTTCTCTTCCTGTAATATCACCTGGCAGGGAGCGGAGCATATGGCGAACATCATAAAGGTACAAGTGAACATTTGTTAACATTATTCATTCCTGGAAGTCTACGTAAATAAATTATCCTCCAAAAGAATTACCTGTGAAAAAAAAAGATCTGCTTTAAATGTCATGATAAAAAGTTAGAACCTCCTCAGATTCATGAGGCTCATCTGTGGTTTAGCACCAGGCAATGAGACGGCATAGCACGGCGTGGGTGGAGACTTTGCGCTACAGGAAAGCAGAGTTTGAAGCAATGAGCGGACTGCGCAGAATCACTCTCAATGACAACATCCTGATCGGAGACCGAGGAGTGACGGCACTCTCCCGCGAGCTTACAGAGGACCTGTGGGTCAAAGGTTTGACAAGTCACTCGTCCACACATACACATACATATACTGTATATCAGAAGCTTGTAGACACCCACATTCCCATGTTATATTCCCCTAGCGGTGGACCTGCAGCGTTGTGGGATCTCGAATGAAGGAGCTCAAGTTCTAGAGCAGATGCTTCAGTCCAATTCCACTCTGTGTGTGCTTGACATCAGGAGAAACCCCCTTGTCGGTAATTGATCCAAAGTGTTGATACATAACTACTCCAAATCAGCACTACACTACCATTCAAAAGTTTGGGGTCAGAAAGAATAATTTTTTTTAATTAGATTTTTTTTTGTTTTACATTTTTTGAAATGCTTGCCAAGACTGTTTTATTAGAAGAACAGTAAAAATAGTAATACTTTAAAATGTAAAAATTTTAAATTTTTATATATATATATATACAGTATATTTATATATATATATATATATATATTAATGGTTTAAAAGGTTTGATGCTCAAGAAACATTAAATATTATTATTATTATCAATGTTGAAAACAGTTGGGCTATTATTATTTTATTATTATATTTTTGTAGAAATCTTTTGTAACTTTATGAATCTTTTTACTGTCATTTTATTTCAATTTAAGCCCATGTCTTTCAAAAAAAAATTTGTACTGATTTCTTACAAACGTTTGAATGGTATTATACTTTTTTATCATCTAATATTTTGGTGCATTTAGAAATACATTACATTACAGACATAAAATGGCTTGTGAATGCGGTTTTATGTTGACGTAATATTCTAATGAACAAAATGATAATGGTACCTGGTCAGCACTTGCACTCTAAGACAGCAAGGTAGACCTCCAAATCACATTGTTTTGTCATTTGTCTCTTAGATAATAATGTGGTGAAGGCTGTGCTCAAAAAAGTTCTCATGAACACTAAAAGCCATGACTCACAGGTCAGACAACTCTTGCATGTTTATATGTTTTAGATGGTTGGATATTGGCTACATGAACTCATTGTCGATGTGTTGTGTTTCAGTATCTGTGGCTTAAACCTCCTTCTCCCAAAAGCACTCTTGATCAATCACGGCAGTTAAGGAGGAAGAATGCAGGAAAAGCAACATATCGAATTGGTATGTGCAGTATTTTGGCTATTTATTTATTTTTTGTTCTTTTGGACCATTTAATGCCGTTCTCTGCAGGATCTCGCCGGTCGTCGTCTGTAAACTCTGTGTGGAGGCCTCCTCTGCCTGGTTCAGTGGGGTACGTCCCATGGCGCACTGCTGCACGGGCTGGCTTACAAAGGTAAGCACAAAGATGCTAGCGATATCAACTGTAGTATAGATTTCAGACAGGTTGAACAGGAACTGTTCCAGAATGTATCCAGATGTATGAGAAGCAATTCAATCCTTCAATACTTCCATTCAAGTCAATAAGATGCGTGAATGTGTCTCTCTTTGTCCATAAAGAGGTGCATCACAGACTGATGGGCTGACAGACCAGAGTTTTCAAGTAAGGACTGTTTAATTGCTAAATTTCTTCATGTAAATTTTTACGTTGACTATTATACATTTAGTAGACTGACTTGTAAGTTGAGTCGCATTTTTTTAAACTCTAAAATCCGAAATTTTCGTATGCGTTTTTTTTCGTATTCGTCATCCTTTCCTATCAGAATGCTTGCTACAGATGCGAAAACGCAGAAAATCGAACCTGGTCTGAATTTTTTTATGACGGACAAAAAAACATGATTGAAACAACGTGAAGGTCGTATTTATTTTTTTAACGTGCAAAAATTTCGGATGAGAATTTCTGCGAAGACCTTTAGTGTGGAATGTGTTGAGGATGTCATGATGGCTTTCTTCATCAGAACGCCACCTCTGTGCGGGTAACCGTTGAGACGGAGTCAGAGTCGGAGGAGGTGGATGGTGCAGATGTACCGGGTCCTCAGGAGAAAATCACAAGCTACCAGTTCAGACGACTAGAGAGGGAGAATAATCGATTACAGGTGCTGCAGTAACAGCCTGTCCAATTGTTCTCTCTCATGTGCTTACTGAAGGAGGAAGCTTGTTAAGAGAGCTAGAAAAAATAAAACATATTCTCACTTTAGTTTTTCAAGAGGTCACATGGATTCTGCAGAACTGTAAAGAAGATTTTTAGCTAAATCTGTGGTCCTTGGTGATTCATAAAATGCAAGTCAACAGCTGCCGTCACTTTGAGGGTCAAAAAAAGCATATCAGGCGGCACAAAATGAATACCTGTGGTTCCTGATGATATATTGAGGTCTTATTCAGTCTGTGCATTATTTACAACATTATCAGCAGCTCATCAGTTCTCAGTTCAGTGACTGTTGGAGGAACTAGAGCAATGTATGAGTCGGCAAAACCTAGCATCATAGGATCATGTGCTTACTTTTGGCAAATTTTGATTTGGAGTGATTGTCTGGCACATCCGAAAGGAACTTTTTGATTGAGGAACTTGATCTGTGCTGCTCGAGGCGCAAACTATTTCAGATGATTCAGTCCGATTTGGTGAACTGGTTAATGATTAAAAATAATGATTCATTCGTGAACCAGACATTTTTGTGTTGCCTGATATGCTTTTTCTTTTTTTTTTTGACGGTAACCACTGCCTTGCATTTTATGATTTACCAACGACCACGAGTTCAGCTAAAAATCTTCTTTATTGGTCTGCTGAAGAAAAATCATCTACATCTTGGATAGCCTCAATGAGGAAATTAACAGCAAATTGTCATTTTTGCATGAACTATCCTTTTAAAATACACTTTTCAGATTTTCAGTTTATTTCATTTGTCCTCTAAAACTTTCCAACATGCATCACATGACACGAGTATTCCTTTCCCTCAGTTTTTCAGTAATGGACGTCATGTACATTTCCACCGCTTCTCATATAATGTATTGTATTTGTATAGTTTAAAGCTATTTAGTAAAGCTAATTTTATGGTTAGGGTTGTATGTATTTTAAATGCACACAAACAATAAAAAACACTTTGCATAATTTGACAAAATCCCCAGTTGATTGGAAATGCACACCTTTTTGTTGTTTTCTTAATGCAGCATGAATCTCATACTTCATCTCAAGCTCTTCAATCACACTGCTGTAAACAAGAACACTAAATTAAAAAAACAAACAAAGCAAAATCGATTGGATTGGTTGTAAAGTCAAATGTTTTGAAAAATATATAAATAATGTTCATACAATAAATATTGTAATTGCTTATGTTTATCCTTCCGTTTAGATTATTATTGTTAAATATGTAATAATCATGTAATTCTCATTTTTATGATTACTTTCCATAGTTTGAAAACTAGGACAGCAGTAAAATAACAAATATAATTCATGAAAAGTAGCAAAGATAAATTATATCATGACAAAAAGTTCCAGTTTTATTGTGATTATAGCAACAAAAAAAAATGCCCAAAGTTGAAGTAGTATACAGTGACACAAGATTTTGATATTTTGTAGTCTAATGTAATGACAATCAGAATATTTATGTTATTTATGTATTGTTTTTTTTGAGCGTGGCTTAAATGTATGAGATGTTAAATGGTTTGGTGCCACTGTATATATTGTAAGTCGCTTTGGATAAAAGCGTCTGCAAAATGACTAAATGTAAATGTAAATATATAAAGGACAATACAGTACAGTTCCTCTCTTCACGCACAGGTGGAGCTGGAAGAGTGTCGTCTGAGGCTGGGGGAGGAGAGGAACAACAGGCTGAAAACCAACTCTCGCCTGGTGGAGGTACAAGTATCCCCCGTTATTCTGCTTGTAAAATGAAAAGTTATGTGAGCGTATATTAATATGTCTCTTCCTGCAGCTGGAGCTGGAGAATGAGCGTTTGCGCAGTCTGAATCAATCCCTGTCTGAAGCCCATCTCAGCGCCTCTGTTCTGGAGGATGAACATGTGCTGGAAAGCATCGAATCCTCCTTCCAAAAATTCCACGCTTTCCTAGATCTGCTGAAAGACGCTGGGTCTGTCTGATCTCACATTTTACTACTATCTACTGAATGATTTATGCATTACTGTTTATGCCTTGTTTAATCAAAAGTCTTGATGCCATACTGTTTTTAAAATGTTGAATCTTCAAAAATTTCATTGGCATTTTCATACTTGGCTGTATGTTAGGCTTGGCCAGTTTGCGTCTATGGCTGGAATAGACCAATCAGACTTTGGGCTTCTTGGGCATCCTCAGCTCTCCTCAACAGAGAGGACACACGTCGGCCAAGAAAACCAGAGAAATGAGGAGAGGAGGGAGAGTTTAGCAGTGGGTAGAAATAAGAGAAACAAAAAACATTCCAAAAATATTCAATAAAAATAAAGAAATGTTTATTTTATTTATTTGTTTGTTTTATGAATTATTAACTACTATTTAAAAGTTTGCGGTCAGTTAGATTTTTAAAATACAAATATATATTTTTATTCATGTTAATATAAATGTAATATAAATGACTAAATGTAAATGTAATATATTGTATTTATATATATATATATATATATTAGTGCTGTCAAACGATTAATCGCATCCAAAATAAAAGTTTTTAATTTATATAATATATGTATGTGTACTGTGTATATTTATTATGTATATATAAATACACACACATACAGTATATATTTTGAAAATATTTACATGTATATACATTTATATATTTATATTCTTATATATAAATATATTTAATATATAAACATAACATATTTTTCTCAAATATATACATGCATGTGTTTGTATTTATCTATACATAAATATACATGGTATACACATATTATGTAAACTAAAACTTTTATTTTGGATGCGATTAATCGTTTGACAGCACTAATATATATAATTATATTACATATTAATGTTTTCATTCAGCAAGGATGCATTAAATTGATGAAAAAGGTAACAGAAAAGACATTTATAATGCAACAAAAGGACGCTTTGATCACAGGCATAAATTATATTTTACAAAATATTAAAATAGAAAAGAGTTATTTCAAATTATAATATTTCACAATATTGCTGTTTTAATTCTTTTTTTCCCCCATCAAATAACTGCAGCCTTAGTGAGCAGAAGAGAACATTTTGGAAAACATTAATAAAACTTTCAACCCCAAACTTTTAAATGGTAGTGTATTTATTTTTATTGATTTTTAATGTTTATTAGTATTTAATTACAATATTATTCTTATTTCTCTAATCACCACACAGACGGCAGCTATCCCTCAACCTGAATCCAGGACTCATTCAGAACCTCCTGCTAACACTGAAGACTTTCCCCGGCCTCATTCCGAACAGGAAGTGCCTCTGAGTCCAGTCAGCTTGTGTCGTGCCTCCCCACCTTTACAGGAGCCACTTGAGTTTGAGGCCCCTGAGAGGAGCCGAGAGTCCTCTTACTCTTCAAACCACCAGAGGGCCGGCGGAGGCTCTCGCTCAGGCAGCTCAGTCAGTAGTGTCAGTCCTCAGTCCAAAGCCTCAACGTCCTCCAGAGCGAACGGATCTGTGTGCTCGGCTCTTAACTCGAGAGCATCTAGTCTGTCTCAGTTGGGTTCAGGCAGACAGAGCGCTTCAGGAAGCCAGAGAAGCGCTGCTGGATTGGTTGGGTTTTAGAGCTAAATCAGCTGGAGAGATCTTGTTATCGTGAAAACTTCTCTGGAATGTTGGTGGCTGCTGTCATCTTTATCTGTCCAGTGTGTTTTGAGAACCATGCTGAGAGAATCCTGTTATTATTTGTTTGTTTGAGAGGTTGATGTTCTATAGGACATTTTAGGTACAAGATATTAATGCTGTTTAGTTATATAGACTATGAAGTTTTATTTATGGTATGTTTGTAGTTCAGTGACACTAAGGTTATTATTTAAGAGTTTTTTTTATAGATTTTTTGTGTGACTGCTAAATTGATTGATATTTGTGATTGATTAAAAACAGTGAAATCAAATTTGCCATCTGCTAATTGTTGTAATGATTTTTCATTTGAATATAAACCTGTTTTTGTATGTCATGTGACCTGTCTAGTGCAATACTTTAATTTTACACTTCACACTTTATAATAATAAATGATTACGATGATAATAATTTTTATTTTTAGTTAAAAAATGTTTTTATTACTATAAAGTGAATAGTATTTTTGAATAAAAGCCATTTAATAATAAAAATAATAATTATTATTATAATAATTATAATTATTATTATTAAATGGGAGGAAGTGCCTCTGCCTCTGCTCTTACTCCAGTTTCTCACAACAGGGGGACAGGAGAACTGTCAGTAAATGGGAAAACAAAGTAACTTATTTGAAAAAGTAACTCTACTTTCTTGTACTGTATTGAAAAATTAATCTGATTACGTAACTCACGATATTTGTATCATTTGTTTTGAAATTTTGTTGTATGCATTTGTCTATGCATCTAAATCAACCCCAAACTTTTAAATGGTAGTGTATTTATTTTTATTGATTTTTAATGTTTATTAGTATTTAATTACAATATTATTCTTATTTCTCTAATCACCACACAGACGGCAGCTATCCCTCAACCTGAATCCAGTACTCATTCAGAACCTCCTGCTAACACTGAAGACTTTCCCCGGCCTCATTCCCAACAGGAAGTGCCTCTGAGTCCAGTCAGCTTGTGTCGTGCCTCCCCACCTTTACAGGAGCCACTTGAGTTTGAGGCCCCTGAGAGGAGCCGAGAGTCCTCTTACTCTTCAAACCACCAGAGGGCCGGCGGAGGCTCTCGCTCAGGCAGCTCAGTCAGTAGTGTCAGTCCTCAGTCCAAAGCCTCAACGTCCTCCAGAGCGAACGGATCTGTGTGCTCGGCTCTTAACTCGAGAGCATCTAGTCTGTCTCAGTTGGGTTCAGGCAGACAGAGCGCTTCAGGAAGCCAGAGAAGCGCTGCTGGATTGGTTGGGTTTTAGAGCTAAATCAGCTGGAGAGATCTTGTTATCGTGAAAACTTCTCTGGAATGTTGGTGGCTGCTGTCATCTTTATCTGTCCAGTGTGTTTTGAGAACCATGCTGAGAGAATCCTGTTATTATTTGTTTGTTTGAGAGGTTGATGTTCTATAGGACATTTTAGGTACAAGATATTAATGCTGTTTAGTTATATAGACTATGAAGTTTTATTTATGGTATGTTTGTAGTTCAGTGACACTAAGGTTATTATTTAAGAGTTTTTTTTATAGATTTTTTGTGTGACTGCTAAATTGATTGATATTTGTGATTGATTAAAAACAGTGAAATCAAATTTGCCATCTGCTAATTGTTGTAATGATTTTTCATTTGAATATAAACCTGTTTTTGTATGTCATGTGACCTGTCTAGTGCAATACTTTAATTTTACACTTCACACTTTATAATAATAAATGATTACGATGATAATAATTTTTATTTTTAGTTAAAAAATGTTTTTATTACTATAAAGTGAATAGTATTTTTGAATAAAAGCCATTTAATAATAAAAATAATAATTATTATTATAATAATTATAATTATTATTATTAAATGGGAGGAAGTGCCTCTGCCTCTGCTCTTACTCCAGTTTCTCACAACAGGGGGACAGGAGAACTGTCAGTAAATGGGAAAACAAAGTAACTTATTTGAAAAAGTAACTCTACTTTCTTGTACTGTATTGAAAAATTAATCTGATTACGTAACTCACGATATTTGTATCATTTGTTTTGAAATTTTGTTGTATGCATTTGTCTATGCATCTAAAAATATTTATTTATTTATTATACTGATGAATCTCCAACGACTGATTGAGAAACAGAACATTAAAAAAAGAGATCTGACACGTGATTGGCTGCTTGCAGGCGCGCGTGTACTCACTCGTCCAATCGGAGCGCTCGACACTGACTTCAGCGACTCTCCTCCGAGCAGAAGATCGTGCATGCAGCTGGTGAGTAGCAGCTCTCCATCAAAACATCATACACACAAACACAAAACACAAGTTTGTTTCTGGACTCACTGGGAAAGTATCCTACATTTATAAAGTAATAGGAAATTGTGCGTTGAATAGAAACGCAGTTTCTGTTGTAAGGTCAGCTGGGCTTGTGCTGCTAGCATTGTTAGCATGTTGTTGTTATTGTATGGTATGGGGTTGATAAACATAGCGCTGTTAACAATAACACTACCAATGTGTGCAACAACACCGTTGTTTTGCGAACCATCTGATGAATGTTTTTGTATTAGTTAATCAAGCTAACAGTGAAATCCGCCATGATTCCAATGCACAATAGATGTGTGTCATGGGGAAAATGCTCCCTCAAGAACAATGTACTTTTATTGCCATGTTATTGGGAACTTAGCATATACAACATACTGTCTGGGAAATTGGAAATACTGACCAATTTGATTGTTATTTGCATGGCATTGTATATCTTAGAGGAGGTAACTTAATCTTGTCCCATTGTTGGGGACAAAACTACCCTGCACTAAGGCATGAAGTGAATTATAAAAAAAGTATGGTGTAAAAGATGTCGAATTAATGTATGCTGAATGTAAATAGTGGTAGATACTGTGTGCTTGACGTGTAAATTTCAATAAATAGCGTCTTGTTTATGGTAAGTGCAAACAGTATTTTTTACTGTCACACAAAGTGTAGTCCATGCGATTTGTACTCTACATATTCTGAAATTCCCTTCACAATCACAAAGTTATACAGAGTTTTCCTCTACACCATAGCTGGATACATAAAAATAACCCATTACAAGTGTACTTGTTGATGCCACAAACAATTTTATGCATTTACTGAAAATCTTCTAAAATGCCCCTTTTCTAAACTAGGTACAAGGGACAATCAAGAAGAACATCAAAAATGTGTAGAAATGTAATTATATACAGTAATATGATATTCCAAAAGCCAACTTATTGAAATGTTATTTAAACTTCTTCTTATTATTCTTCTGAGACTAAAATTTCTGATTCTAACTCCTGCTAGAGCTTTAACTCTACAAACTCAGCCCAGCTCTTCAGACTGATCTAACCGAGTGTGCTATATCTTTTCTAACTGATTGGACTTACGGTTTTCCTAAAAATGAAGATTAAAAATCATAAAAATCCCATAGACTTACATTGACGGAATGTTCAGATGAGCCAAGACTATTCAAACTGTCAAAATTCAAATCTAAACACACTAAAGCCCATTAGACTCAATTAAGATGCCATTCATTTAGGCTTCCACTCTGTCTAATATTTCTTATCTATCTGTCTGTCTGTCTGTCTGTCTATCTATTAGGGGTGTAACGATTCATCAATATGGATCGATACATCGATACGATGTCTGACGAGCTATCTATCTATCTATCTATCATCTGTCTATCTATCTATCACATAGCAACCTAAATGGGGTGGAGAGTGAAGTTTTCATTATATTTAGGAAGAGGTCATGGTTACATTGTTTATTTTAACGGCACAGATCGCGCACAAACGAACGGCACCGGTTTGGAGAGATTTGGACGGCATGGGGTGGAGAGTGACGTCACTGCCTCGAATTCTGTTTGTTATTTCTAAGAAGGGGAAATATATTTGATGTTCCTTTCAACGGCACAAATCAGCACAAATTGAGCACAAACGAATGACAACGGTTTTGTGCGATTTAGACAAACTGGGGTGGAGAGTGACGTCACAGCTTCCCGAGTCACATTAAAGATTCGTTCAAAATGAACTAATCGTTCAAGAACGATCCAACACTACAAAGGAGCGCTGTTATTTTGACAGGAAAATACAACAAAGAATATCGTTTACATGTAGCGCGCATAGGTAGCGCGTGAATTCTCTCTCTCCCTCTCTCGCTGAGTGTGTGTGAGACAAAGCGACGGCGAGACGTGCGCCTTCACACTAGAGTTTACGGTACGTCGCGCGTTGCCCATCCATTCAGATGAACTGAAAAACAGCACAGATCGCTTGGCGGAGAGTGAAACTCTGATGCGCTCAGTCAGAGAGTGTTCAGCGACTGAAAATATATCTGAGCTAAACTTATACTTAGCCTCCAACTCACACACTGGCGAGTAAAATCTGAGAATTTATTAGCCATTGGCTGCTCTGAAAAGAGCTGTTTTTGACAGGGTAAAAAAGGTGTTTTTTACACTACCATTGAGAAATTTGAACCAAACTATGTTACAGACTTTTCATTAAGACCCTAAAGAATCATATCAACTTGTGGAAAATGGGCAACCTATGACCCTTTTAATATCTCAAACACCAAACCAGCACAAACGTTCATTTTTGCGGCACAAATCAGCACAAACGAATGGCATAGTTTTGGTGATTAGTTCTTTTTATGGATTGCCAACTTCACGGAGGTGATAGATATTATGAACTAGCACTGCTCAAATCATTTTAATGTAATTTCCCCCCCCATTTTTTGGTAAGTAGTCATAATGATTCTGGATTCTGATCCAGTTAACCAATTTATTTAAATTATTTTTTTTTCTTTTCTTGACAACAACAGATGCTGATGACTGGAGTGAATGATCCTTAATAAATAAGAAACATGGTAAGTCACTCTGTATGTTTTATGCTTTGTTATTATTATTCTAAAACTACCTCATATGAGCGTTTGACCTGCTTCTGTCATGTTGTTCATTTCGTTTGTTCACTGTATTCATGTATCTTCTACAAATCACAGATCCGGATAGCTGCTCTGAATGCAGCATCTCATGCTGCAGATGAGCATGAAGACGCCTTCAGAAGCACTAAAACAAGTCAAACAAAGGAAGCCCAGGTGAGTCAGATGCTTTCAAGTAACTTTCTTTTTGGTCTGTTTCATGTATTTTTTTTTTTTTACCCTTTAAAGCCTGAATTTTTTTTTCAGTGGAACTGTTTATTGAACCTTTTGGCAAAATGTACATGAAAACGTTTGCGTATGTGTTTTTTGTTGAGTATCATATTGGATAGATCTAGGGCTGTTGCGATTTGTCGATTTTATTTGACTATTCGATTTTTAAAAATCCTCGACTTCATTTTGCTCGCGTCGACTAACCGGCAAAATAAAAAAAAAAAGTGGCGCATTTCACGGACGAGAATCCATAAAACACATTATTAGTCTGTTTTCCAAGGCTGCATGATATTATTAAACCCATTTAAAAATCATAATTAAGCATAATTGTGAATTCACAAACGCCACGATTTAATTAAATAATTATATGCGATGCAGTTCTAATACAGTATATGCACTTTAATTATTTACATGCGTGTAGGTTAAGTACATGCGT